TTCTTTTCTATTTTATGGGTAAATTAAAGAACAATGTTTTTGTTTTTTGTTTTTGTTTTTGTTTTTGTTTTTGTTTTTTGGGGGTTGTGTGGGAGAGTGAAGCTCGATGCCATTTTGCAAGGAAGCTTGAATCTCACTTTTATGAGGTTGGCAGTTGGCCATATGACCACCGCTCACCGTTCGTCGTCCCCGTCCCGGTAATAATATCTCTATTTCAAATTTCTTTAGCTGTCTACACCTGGATCCACTCTTTATAGGCAAATAGATTCCACAAGCAAATCCCAAGCCAAAAGAAGTAACATGATGATGCATTGAGATTACACAACCAATCTCTCTCTAATAAATGTGTTTAGACACCAAGAATCTACCCCCCTTGTCTACACCCATTTCTCCTTATTCCTTTCAATCTTTTCTTGTACATTTCCTTGCCATCCACTCAGTGAAGTCTCCCAACACACACACACACTGAGGGCTTCCAGACATGCAGAGGAGTATGAGTTTTTCTCTACAAGCAGGAGATGCTAATTCAAAGTTTGATGATGATGGTCGTCAAAAAAGAACTGGTATATATCCACCCGTGTCTTCCAACTTTGCTCTGCTCTCTCTCTCTCTCTAATGGTGTGTTTTATTTGATGAAAAGTTGGGTGGATGAAAAATAGGGTGAAAAAAAAGACTTTCCATTGTTTGATTACAAAGGAAAATTGGAGGCAAAGTGTTTTTCTCCGATCCACCATTTTTTTCCTCCCAAAACTGGGAGAAAAGTGAGAGGAAAATTAAAGACAAACTACTTTTTGAACAAATTGTTTGCCCTTAAATATATTTCTAAACATTATGCCATAATTTCAAATCAAAACATGTACTTCTCAAACAATATTTCTAAATATACTATTACATATATTTTTCCTATGTATTTTTTTTGCTATTATTTTTGGTATACATATTTATATTTATCTTTATAACTAAATAGAGCAACACTGAATCCCTAAAATTTATTTATAATAAAAAACTATTTATACNTTCAAATCAAAACATGTACTTCTCAAACAATATTTCTAAATATACTATTACATATATTTTTCCTATGTATTTTTTTTGCTATTATTTTTGGTATACATATTTATATTTATTTTTATAACTAAATAGAGCAACACTGAATCCCTAAAATTTATTTATAATAAAAAACTATTTATATAAGGGTATAATGATAAATTTAGTACATGTATATTTTCTTTCTTTCTTTCCACTTTTTCTTCTATATCAAATAATAAAAAATTAATTCTTTTAATTTTTTATCCATCGTGTCAAACACAAACGAGAGAGAATATTTTTTTTTTTCTCTAAAGATAGATTTTCGATTTTCTATTCTCCCAATTTTTTATCTTTTTTACTNATTTTCTTTCTTTCTTTCCACTTTTTCTTCTATATCAAATAATAAAAAATTAATTCTTTTAATTTTTTATCCATCGTGTCAAACACAAATGAGAGAGAATATTTTTCTTTTCTCTAAAAATAGATTTTCGATTTTCTATTCTCCCAATTTTTTATCTTTTTTATCAAACGGAACATAAATATATATATTTATATGTGTGTGTACTGAGTTTGTTGTTCTTTGGTTTGAAGGAACGTTGATAACGGCAAGTGCTCACATAATAACAGCAGTTATTGGGTCTGGAGTGTTATCTTTGGCATGGGCGATTGCTCAGTTGGGGTGGATTGCTGGGCCTGTGGCTCTCATTGTTTTCTCTCTCATCACTTGCTTCACTTCTGTGCTGCTTGCTGACTGTTACAGGTCTCCTGATCCTGTTACCGGCATCAGAAACTACGGTTACATGGACGTTGTCAAAGCCAATCTAGGTAATTTATCATGCAAATAAGAAGAAAACATTACTTTTTCTAAAAAAAAAAGTGAAAAGTTCTAATAATTTGCTATGCAATCAATGATGAATCTAGAGAGTGAGCGGGAGATCATTAACCAAAAGTTTTGAAAAAATCTTCTAATTATTAATTAGTAATGAATAACTTCAAATATGGCCAAAAGTGTTCTTCCACTTAGACATTTAAATAATTATGTTCAAGTGATGTATTGTATTGAATATAAAGAACATTATACAATACCTACATTGTATTGANAAAAAAAAAGTGAAAAGTTCTAATAATTTGCTATGCAATCAATGATGAATCTAGAGAGTGAGCGGGAGATCATTAACCAAAAGTTTTGAAAAAATCTTCTAATTATTAATTAGTAATGAATAACTTCAAATATGGTCAAAAGTGTTCTTCCAATTAAACATTTAAACAATTATGTTCAAGTGATGTATTGCATTGAATATAAAGAACATTATACAATACCTACTGGGCATTCAAAGAGTAACATTGATTTTGAGTTTTAAAGGGCAGCATGAAAATTATATTTATTTATTAGAATGAAACCATATTTTTTAAACAGTTACATTAACAAATATTGGTAACAGGGGTTATGCGTTACATACGTACAAACTCCGTGGAGTAGTTACTCTTAATTTCTGTATGTTTTTAATCGTTGTTTACGTATCATCTAGCAATGNGTACTGGGCATTCAAAGAGTAACATTGATTTTGAGTTTTAAAGGGCAGCATGAAAATTATATTTATTTATTAGAATGAAACCATATTTTTTAAACAGTTACATTAACAAATATTGGTAACAGGGGTTATGCGTTACATACGTACAAACTCCGTGGAGTAGTTACTCTTGATTTCTGTATGTTTTTAATCGTTGTTTACGTATCATCTAGCAATGTTTTTTTATGTACTTTGTTTTAATAAAAAAGAAAACTTAAATTTTTAGCATGTTTAATTGTTATTTTATGAAAATGATCTTTATATACATCTTAGTGTCTTAATGATACGCTTATGTGTGTTTATATATCTATATGATAAAGTACAATATAAAAAAAACTTTTATTTTTTACGATTGAGATCATTTTAAATTTTATTTTAAAATTAATTTGATGGCTAGTATTAACTTTTTTAATTTAATAAGAAAAATAAGTCATTNTTTTAGCATGTTTAATTGTTATTTTATGAAAATGATCTTTATATACATCTTAGTGTCTTAATGATACGCTTATGTGTGTTTATATATCTATATGATAAAGTACAATATAAAAAAGACTTTTATTTTTTACGATTGAGATCATTTTAAATTTTATTTTAAAATTAATTTGATGGCTAGTATTAACTTTTTAAATTTAATAAGAAAAATAAGTCATGTAAAGGTGTATTTATGGTGGCCTTTCAAAAATATTTACTGGACTATCATAATCACTTTACACACACACACACACACACACACACACACACATATATATATATATATATATATATATATATATATATATATATATATATATATATATATATATTATTTGGAACAACTTATTTTAATTACTTCCAAATAAGTCAAAAATAGTTTTACTACTTAAATAAGTAAGTTAACATAAAAAAAAACTAACTTCTATTTCTTTAAAATTATTTTTCTACAAAACAATTCACCACCAACACCACCATCGCCATCACCCCACCATCACCACTACCATCCCACCACCATAACCACTATCATCCTATCACCATAACCACTGTCACTGTCGTCACCCATTATCGATTGCTAACACCGCCACTACCCACCACCATCATCATCTTATGCTTATATTTGTTAACACTACTACCATCATCTCATCACCACCTTCATCCACCACCACCACCATCGTTGCCCGTCATCACCCACTACTGTCGCCACCCACTGTCATCCACCACCACCACTGCCACCTCCACTATTAGGAAGTTGAGAATCAACTTATGAAAGTACAATAACAGTTAAGATTAATCTAATATTTATCTACTTTGATTTAATGATATAAAATTCATCCTAAAATTTATTTTCTTGCTCAAAAATATTATTTTAATTGTACAACTATCAATGTCAAATAACTCCATCAATTCACACCAATACCTCTTTTCTCTCTCCTCCTCCCACTTTCTTATTTTGTTTTTGTTAAAATAAATTTAAAATCTTATATGATCAATATTCAATTTTTCTTATTAAAAAATTTATTCAGACAAGGTTATTAGTAGCCTATTATAAGAGCTATTAAACTTAGAGGAATAGAGCAAACTAAGATAACAAAATGAACATAACTTAACAACATAACAGCTAGGCAATGTCTTGGCTGGTGCCTGTTAAGGAATGAGTATACTCGAGAAAGAAGTGCGTCCATGCTCATATAACTCGGGCAATAACTAGTATCTATATACTTACAACTCATTCTCTCTCTTTCTCTCCCCCCTCGTAGAAAGAATTTTAATGCTGAACAAGATTGATGGTGTTTCTGCACTCGAACAGGAGGAATTAAAGTCCAGCTCTGTGGAATAGCGCAGTATGGGAATCTTGTTGGAGTCACTATCGGATACACCATCACTGCATCTATTAGCATGGTGTAAGCATTGCAAGACCACCAAATTACTATCTATATAACTAGCTATATATCTATTGTTTGTTAATTTATTAGCATGGTGTAAACATTGTCCCATCGATTATTAAATTTATAACGTTGTCTCTTCAACTATTTAAATCGTTTTCACCTTGTATCAAAACTATGTGTGTCATTTATGTTTTAGAAGAAAAATATTTGTTTTCTACAAAAGTCAACATCTATAACTAGAGCAATGTGAAATCAATAACTCTAGATAAATATGAAAAATAAGAAACGTGATAGTTCTGGGATATTGTGAAATCAATAGCAATAGCTACAGATGTAATAAGAGAAGCGTGATAGTTGATAAGGGATGAAATAGAAGGTATATGTTGAGGGAGCAAAGTATAATTTTCCGGTAGTTTATACATTGATGATTAATACATATTGTTTTCCTCCTACTTTGATCAATTTCAGGGCAATCAAAAGGTCCAATTGTTTCCACAAGCATGGCCACCATGAGGGCTGTCACACGTCAAACAATCCCTCCATGGTCATCTTTGGGATAATACAGATTATTCTAAGCCAAATACCAAACTTTAATAAGCTCTCAGTACTCTCCCTTGTTGCTGCTGTCATGTCTTTCACTTACTCTTCCATTGGCATTGGTCTCACCGTAGCCAAACTTGCAGGTGATAGCAATACTAATGATGCAAGTTATTCACAAGTGAATATTTGTTAGTACATTCGTGGGATTGACTCGTATGAAAGTTTGTTCAAATTTATTCATTGCTGAAACAAAAATTACCTCAGGCTCAATTTTAAACCTGAATCAAGCCTGAACAATAACATATTCCCCCCGATAGACTTGTCAACACATGCATACATAGAATGCAAGAGCCACGAATGATCTGAAAATGAGTTTAAGCTTGAATACAAGCTTGACCTCAGCTCGTTTTGTCAGCCAAGTCGAGTCACGCCAAATTGAGCCTGAATTTGAACAAAAGATTAAAATGCTACGTTCGAATTAAAGGGTTGGAACTCGTTGGGGTCGCAACCAAATGAGCATCGCCCGAACAGTTTGCTGCTGTATTTGATTCGGTATCAGTACATTTGCACTTACTATTCCTTCTAATAGAAGTTACAAGGTCATTTTTCAGACTTATAAAATATTTACATGGTTTAAAAAGTTCAATGTTTTCATTGAAATCCATAGATTACACAACAGTGTGTTTTGCTTGTGAAGGAGGGGCACATCCTCAGACAAGCCTAACAGGAATACCAGTGGGAAAGACCATGTCAAGTTTGGACAAAATGTGGAACACCTTCTCAGCCCTAGGAGACATTGCCTTCGCCTATGCTTTCTCTATTGTCCTCGTCGAAATACAGGCAAGCCCTTATGTTCAAATATAAATATTCAAGTTACACCATTTCTAATATTTTAAACTTTTAGAGTAGGTAGTTATTTAACACTGTATCATGATCATCTGCAAAGGTATGTATCCTTACAACTGCAAACTTGGGTTCGGCCATGGTGGTGGTCATAGCATATAGTTTGATCAGTTCTCATATACTGTTAATCACGTCTAACATACTTTCAAATGGGTGATTTCCTGTCGTGATTCTAAATCATGTAAATTATGTCGTATTAAAAAATTTCATCTCATACTAGGCTCACTTATAATCGTGTTTAATTAGGGTCATGTCATTCCATTTATTTGAGGGATTTAGTGATTCCTCAAGTTTACCACCCAAACACGATAATTATGTATCAATTTCATGTTGTCGTCACATCTAGATATCACACAAAACTCTTCAACCAACTAGCACTTAAGCTAGTCACCAGTTTATTTAGCAGATCAAACCCAAACAAATTGCTGAGAGGCTTTACAAAGTTAGAGATTGTGAGTTTTGAGTCAAAAGTTAAGAGGTCGGGAGTTTTGAATAAGGTTGATAATTGAGCCGAACTACTCGGATAAGACTCGACTAAATGAACTGAGCTTAAATAATTTTTTAGACTCATTTAAAAAAGTAGCCTAAAAGACTCGGCTAGTTTTGAATTCGGCTCAGACTCAACTTATTTTCTAAAAGAGTTGAATTTAAACAACTTTTTAAACTCATTTAGAAAAACAAGATTGATAAGCTCAACTCAAGCTCACAAAACTTGACACGACTATCAACTCTAATTTTAAGTCTTCTTTGGGGATCATCCGTAGAGATCCCAGTGCATACACAAGGGAAGAACTGGATCTGTCCGAGATAATTAAAAGACTCAAAGATGGGCAAACAATACTCGTATTGCAGCCTCACCTTGAATGAAATTCCATGTATTAATTTGCAGGACACACTGAAATCAAGTCCACCTGAAAACAAAGTCATGAAAAAGGCTGCCTTCATCGGAATCTCGACCTCCACCATGTTCTACATGCTATGCGGGCTCACCGGATACGCAGCGTTCGGGAATAATGCACCGGGAAACCTCTTAACTGGTTTCGGTTTCTTCGAGCCCTACTGGCTTGTTGACTTTGCCAACATGTGCATCGTTGTTCATCTTGTTGGAGCCTATCAGGTAAACAGTACACATACTTTTGCCAGCAGTGTTCAAATATCGTATTTGGCCGCATAGGTTTCATTATTATATACTATTCCATATTCTGTGTGTATATATACGAACCTGACTCAATTTCTGGTGGATCAAATGTCCCCGTCAAATCATAAACAAATGATTTGACCTAAATTTCTTATTATGCCCGATTTGTTGAGAATATACTATTCATGAATTTTGCTCTTCACATTTTCTCAGAATTTTTCATTACTTTTCTTAGTTTTTCGGGCCTTACTGCCACAACCGTACCCAAATCCGGGCTAAATAACTTAGTTTAATTAAATTTTGACAAATTATATCTAAATTTTAACTAAATTTCTTCAAATAATCACTTAAATTCTTTTAATGTTTATCTAAATTTCTTCGAATTCAAATTTAGATAATTGGTATTACAAAAATATATCAATTAATATCTAATTAATCGAATTCAAATCAAAATTTAATCGATTGAGAGGCCTACACGAGACTGGACCTGCACACTTGTAGTGGGTGAACTATAATCACTAGGTTGTCACCTCAGTCTCCATTTATGTTTCCGTATTGCAAATCATAGCTTCTGAGTGACTTATTCTTAGACTCAAACCCGCAAAATTACCGTCTTAAGAAAATAAACACTTGCCATCACTCAAAATCATATAGAGTATGTAACTACTCTCTATATGTAGGACCTGTGTAAATCCTTTATCATGCATATGTAGGTATTCTGTCAACCAATATTTGCATTCGTGGAAGGTTGGAGCAGCAAGAAATGGGCAAACAATAGGTTTATAACAGGAGTTCACTCCATCAACATACCATTTTACGGCAGCTTCAACTTCAGTTTCTTCAGGATGGTCTGGAGAACAGCATATGTGACGTTTTCCACCGTGTTGGCGATGATATTCCCATTTTTCAATGATTTCGTCGGTCTTCTCGGGGCCGCCTCATTCTGGCCGTTGGCGGTGTATTTTCCGATAGAGATGTACATGTCACAGGCAAAGATTCGGAGGTTTTCCCTTACCTGGATTTGTATGCAGATACTGAGTGGAGCTTGCTTGGTTATATCGCTTCTTGCTGCTGCTGGATCTGTTCAAGGCCTTGTCAAGTCCCTCCACACCTTCAAGCCCTTTAAATCTCTATCTTAAATTTCCTTTCGTCTTTTATTCATGTAGGAAGTATTTGAAATGAATAAATATTTGACAATGCTGTTTTTTGAAAGGGCAAATTGTTTGGCGCTCTCCAAGTACACATATCTAAAATTTGTGTTGCTGTCATGAATACAAAAATAACGATTACTGCAATTTCCCGTTACCCAAAGAAGAAAAAACTTAAAGTTCTTCCGAAAGTATCGTCAGATTGTGGTCTCGCTTTGTTTTATGCAGGACGTTAAGCAAAAGAACAAATGAGCAATTTTAATTAGATGCAACTTCACATGATACAATGAAATATGGTAATCGAGGCCAAATAGGTAGTACAAGACTAAGTTAAGAAAGAATGGTGAAAAAGCCAAGTTGTTACAAATATGATTCTAATAGGCACTTCATCCACAATAATATTTGGATCACATCTCCTTCCAGCCAATTAGGTGATAAATAAAACCATGGTAGAAAATATTTCTTTCTAATTTGGAGGTTTTTTTTACAGAGATAAAACGGCACAACAGAGTATAGGCAACAGAACCTGTAGTTTGAAATCTGAGAAAGCTGCTACACCTGAAGGTGTTCAGTGACTTTAGTCCTTCAATTTAGACGAGGGGCCGTTTGAGATATTGTTTCATCTTCCAGAAGAGCATACGGATCAATATATGGCGGTGGTACTACAGGATTGTTGCTAGCATCATGGATAAAACTTGGTCCAAAATACTGTCAAAGGAAGAAAAATTAAATGAAATGATCAACATTCGTCCTCCTGAGAAAAATAAATCTACATGCTGAGAAATGCCTCACCACCAACACAAAAATGATCAACAGGCAGCAAATATTGGACTCTGCCCTTCTACTTTTGGGGGCGATTCCCTTACTAATCATTTGGATTGCCTGTTTTATCCATATCAATTATTGACATTACAAATAGATTTTAAAAAGAAAAGGATAGAATGTATACGGCTAACAACTGAGTTTTAAATCTGCCAACTCAACACTTAAGTTTCTGCACTTCTAAATTTTCTCCTACGCTTCTGTCTCTTTTTATCTTTCTCCTACATGTCTCTCTGTCTTTATATCTTAGCGCGGATCAGCCACACCAGAGATGCCCACAGGCAAAATTGGCCAAGCAGTTGTTAGGCCAAAGCTTGACAAATTGCTATTGTCCAAATGCAAAAAGCTACTGCCTTAGCAAAAGTTATAATTTTTGCTCGCTTATGACTATATATTGCTGGTGTTCACCAAGCAGTTCTGAAAAACCCTCTCAATGACTGACATGATTGTTTGTATCACAAAAATCTTCATAACCAGCCTGCAAGATCAATTGGAGCAGCAGAAGCTTGTCACCAGTCATCAGGTATTTCTTCGTTCATGCTGTCTTTTTGAACCACTCTCTCTTTCCCTTCAGTTCTCTAAGATCAGGTTAAGTAATCTGCTCTAACTATAGCACCTACGCTATCCTGACTTGTAAAGATTTCCTTACAATTCATTTAGTATCCGTATTTTGGCTATAAAGTGTGCCCCTCGACCCAGTTTTGTGGTTCATAGTGACAATCTTTAGATACATGATCAAACCACACATCTATAAAATTTAGGGTTTGATTTTTGAACTCCAATAGGAGTATTTCCTGGCAACAGCTATGCCTTTCAAATTCCAACAGCTCCAACTGCCAGCCAATGTCATTTAAGGAATAGAAACAGTACAAGTTATCAGAAAGCATCCAATGAAACCAGTCAAAACATAAAACCAGTTGACATTGTGCCATACACAATGACAACGTCTGGCAAAAATAAGAAATCAAATGCATTGAGGATAAAGAAAGAAAAAAAAAAGCTTACAAGGTAGAGCACGGAGGCAAACACGACTGTAATGAGGATCAATGGCCAAAATCCCAAGAAGAATGTTCCCCCAAGTGTAAGCAAAAGTTTAGCACGTGGAATCAAACCCTGACATAATAAGCATAAAGGAAGATTTGAAGTCCATTTTCTTCTACACAAACAAAGGTGGAAAATATGCTAAGAATATGAAATTAAAAATCATATATTCATAGACATTTTCACAAAAAAAGATCAGATCTTAATGGAATCTTAATCCGTGAACAGTACCTTGTTTATATTATGTGAAGCATCCTGATACCAGGAAGCTCCAAATATCACAGAAACCAATCACAAACCGAAATTTAAGCAAACCTAAAAAGGCCATCATAAATGCCCTCCCCACAAATGGTAAGCATTAATAACCACACCGCATATCACACAAACTAATACAGATACTCAACCAAATTTTCAGCAAACACAACAAGGCCAATGTGCATCACCTCTCCACAACAGAAAGTATTTCCACTGATGTCATTATAGAGGATGAACCAGAGACCTTCGTCAAATTCGCATATCATTGGTCGGTGATAAAAAGTTCCTTATCATCCTATTAGTGTTCTTCCATTTACCAATTCTTTTTATTCTCATCTGATTCCAGCATACATGTGAAAGTGACAAGTCTCAAACAAATACTCAACAAAGATACTGGATACTCAACAAAGATACTGGATACAAAGAAGAGCAATTTATTTAATATAGGCTAAGGAATTCATAACTAGAACAGACAAACATCAACTTAATCTCTTTTTGCTGTGAATTGTGTCAATCCAACCTTGGGATGTGTTCTTATTTACTTTTACTCGTTGAGAAGCAGTTAAATTAGTACTGGTTGACACCAAAAAGAAAGGATTAAGTTTTTTGAGTCCAATTTTTTGGTTGGTGTAAAGCTTGACTTTTTGCTCTTGGTTAGATTCTTATCCGATTAGGTATATTCTTCATAATCTGAATAAGAATTCACAATAATTATAACCGATCAGACATTGCCCAACATGAAGATAACAGCTATTGAGAATAACAATCCAAATCCTTGACAAATGCAGCGTACTAAAAATGAAATCTTTGAGCTAACACAACAATTAAACTGTTCAAGAAATGAAAATGTGCCAACCTCAAGCCCTTCACTATTCAATGACATAGAGACCTCCCTTTGATTAGATACGTTCCTTCCAAATTCTGTTGACACTGTGTTTCTTCTTGAAGAACCTCCATCTTCTTCTTTAATTTTTATCTCTTCTCCAGATATGCTTCTACTGCTTTCATCAAGCAAAGAAGTGGGAGTCATGCCCCTTCTCTTTAATTCCTTCATAAACAATGACTCCGGAGGTTCATCACCTAAAAAGAGTTCGTAATATCAGACATGGGAATTCGGATGCATCCATTTAAGATAAGTGCTGAAACCCTCAAAAGCTGGATATACAGNTTCATCACCTAAAAAGAGTTCGTAATATCAGACATGGGAATTCGGATGCATCCATTTAAGATAAGTGCTGAAACCCTCAAAAGCTGGATATACAGTTATATGACCATTGTTGAAGTTACAACTAAGGATCAAATTTCACTTCTTTTATACAAAACGTTTTCATGGAANAGTTATATGACCATTGTTGAAGTTACAACTAAGGATCAAATTTCACTTCTTTTATACCAAAACGTTTTCATTTCCATGAAAACGGATACGAACCGGTGGTTGACTATCAAAATTTCCACAATTCGAGTTTTTTCTGAAAAAATTTCAAATTTTTTTCTCCATTTCTATTCTGTTTTTCGAGACCATGGAAACGTTTCCATTTCCGAAACTATGCACCCAAATAAAAAACTGATCCTTTATTGTTACAACAACCACAAGTGTTCGCACAACCAAGTAAACGCCGAACTGATTCTGAAAACTCTAAAAGGAATTTCATTCACTACCAATTGACTACAAGTCTTAACAGCCTCTGTATCAATGTAATTACTCTACTCCATGAACTAGCAACCAAGCACCAGAAAACTCATGGTTGTCTCAGCATAAAAAAAAATGATGTTTATTTGTCCTTCCAAGTACAATTGGAAATCTAAACTATGGGGACACTAAAAGCAAGTGTAAGTTTAAGAAGCTTACCATTGCTTTGGCTTTCACCTTCTTGAACTTTACAACAGACCTTAAACCTTGTGTTAACGGAAAATTTTAAGTCCCGATGACTTCGAAGCTTGATAATCCTTTTTGAAGTGACATCGAAATCGAATTCCGACCAAAAACAACTCGAATTCCGGCGGAAATTCGATCGAGAAACAGAGAATGGAAACAACGTCGACTTCAAAATCTGAAGCGAAGCCATTTTGTTGTTTTCTCAGGTTGGGATTAGAATCAGTGGAATAGGGGTTTCATTACGGAAAGTGTGTCCAAATAGCTAGCTCACACAGAGAGAGAGAGAGAGAGCAACTGGAGACGAACCAGTAAGCGGTGGAAGCAATATTCTTGTGGCGTATTTTAGAAATTACGTTTCTTAGTTGTCTAATATGCGCGCGAGATTTTGTGGTTGGTTTGTGGCTAGGACTAGACCTTGCAGTTGAACACGTTGCGAAATTATAGACGTCAGGCGTGGAAAATTAACTGGTTAGCTCAAGTTTTTTTTTTTTTTTAGGTCGGATACTATTATTACAAACTAATGGTATTATGACATAAATTAGTAATTTAATTTGTTAATTTAATTCATAATAATTTTAGATTGATTGTGAATTTCATTAAACATTAAAATTTGTTGTTAAAATAGCCGGGATAGAGTGGTGGTGATTAAGTCAATTGTTAGCATCAATTTAATTTGATATTTTTTAAAAATTAATAATGTACCTGATTCTTAAAGTATATATGTTTTATTAGTTTAATCATTAATATATGAATTTAATCAATTTAATCTATATACTATTCAATTCGTATTTAAATGGTCCTAACTCCTAATTATATGGGCCATTAAGTTCTTTAACAAAAGATCACGTATCATTCTGTCAAACAGTATCACGTGATCAATTCCGTTAAAAATTTAACTGTTAATTGATTTTTACCTACCTTTGATTTCGATTAAAAATACCTTACTAACTTGGCGTTTAAAATTATGTGTATTACCCTTTATAGTGTATATACGAAAGTGAAATGATTATTTTTATCATCTAAGTTAATGGAAAGTGTGCTCTACATGCCCAAACTATATTATGGACTTTGCTTCTGATGGGTCAAGCCCAAAGGCCCAACTTGTGTTATAAGTCCAGTTCGAGTTTATAATCCGACTCCAAAAGATCCAACAAATTCAACCCAATGTGATCAACTCGGTCAAGTTCATCAGGCTCAAGGAGCTACTATATCAGCAAGGAGCAGTCAAGGTCATCCAAGAGCCTCATTCTCTACCACCTTGGAGTAAGAGTCATCCAAGAGTCTCCTTTACCACCTTAGAGTAAGGATCATCCAAGAACCTCTTCTACGCCACCAAGGGACCATCTAGGAGCCTCACCCTCACTCTCACTCTCACCACCAAGGAAGCATCCAAGAGCCTCACCCTCGCAACCTGGATAGAGTCAATCTCCCTCATTCTTGAACAAGTCATTTGGAGAGCACAACAACCGTCACACCTCGCCCGTTGAGAAGATGATAGGTCGCCTCCGCCAGATCAACTACCTAATTACTATCAAACGGTCCTAAGTCATTATGACCGTCAGACTAGTCATACAATTACTATGTCAAATCACTATAAATTATAAGCTCCCCCAACACTTGGGGGGCATCAGACTCATTTGAGCATAATTCTCTCCTCTCCTCTCCTCTCAAATCTTGTTATCATGTGCTCTCCCTCCACACCAGAGATAATAAAATTCTAGCGAACCTAGCCATTCAAAGTGGACGTAGGTCGTATTGACCGAACCACTATAAATTTTGTCTTCTCTCTCCTTCTACTTACTGTATTTTATACTACAACTTGACTAGTGGTATACAAACTAATTTATGCATCATCAGTTTGGCGCCGTCTGTGGGAACGATAGTTCTCACCTAGCCACTTTCCTTTGCTGAGTCAAAGTCGATCACCAACAGATTCATGAATCAGCTTGAAGATAACCCACCACCAAGAGAGGAGGAGGTTGTTCCTCAACCAACCAATCCTGCCCCAAATGAGCAGTAGATGCTCGAGACCATGCAGCAACTTGTGGCCCAGAACCAACAGATCCTACAACTAATGCTCATTGGGCATCAAGGAGTTCTCTACATGGGCGTTCCTCATCTAGGAAGAGGAGCACAACCTGGACCTCAAGTCAGAGGAACTCCACACCCTGGGCATCAAGGAGCTCCCCACATGGGTGTTCCTCATCTAGGAGGAAGAGCACATCCTAGACCTCAAGTCAGAGGAGCTCCACACCCTGGGCGTCAAGGAGCTCCCCACGTGGGTGCTCCTCATCTGAGCGCCCCCTCAAGCGCCCCGAACAGGGGAGCTCCCCACAAGGGACCTCCACCTCCTCTTTCAGCTCCCTCTTTTCATGGTGGAGACCCTCTTTTCCAAGAGGACGAGGGTGAAAACCAAAGCTTGAAGCATGAGAGTCATATCCATAGTAATTCCAAGGGACCTCCGCCTAATCATTGGAACGAAAAAATTAAGGAGGTGTAGAATCAATTAGGTGATGTCTTCAATGCCATGAAGACACGAGGACCCGAGATAGTGGATTACCTTGTAAGTCGAACCGATACACCTTTCAAACCTGATGTGACGAACTACCCACTCCCTCAAAAATTCAAGATGTCATCCGTCGAAACCTTTGATGGNAGGAGGTGCAGAATCAATTGGGTGATGTCTTCAACGCCATGAAGGCACGAGGACCCGAGATAGTGGATTACCTTGTAAGTCAAACCGACACACCTTTCAAACCTAACGTGACGAACTACCCACTCCTTCAAAAATTCAAGATGTCATCCATAAAAATCTTTGATGGTACGAAGGATCCATTGGACCACCTTGAAACTTTTAATACCTTGATGCAACTGCATAACGTCCCTGATGAAATCATGTGCAGAGCGTTCCCAACCACCTTAAACGGATCCACTCGACAGTGGTTCGCCAAGATCACCCCCGCTTCCATCAGCTCATTTGTTAAGCTGAGCAGGTCCTTCGTGTTGCACTTTATTGGAGGACGCCGTCACCAGAAACCTACTACCCACCTGCTCAGCATAAAGTAGGACCGAGATGAGAGTCTGCGAAACTACCTCACTCATTTTAATGAGGAGGTCCTTCAGGTCGAAGAACCCGATGAAAAAGTCAGCAGGATCGCCTTCTTGGGAGGCCTTCGGTCATCGAACTTCCTTTTCTCCGTGATGAAACGCCCACCAAAGANTCATTGCATATCTGCAGCCCTAAAGTCAATACTATACATACCAAGCAAAAGTTACTGGTAATAATCATTACTTTCAGTAAATAAATACATACCACTTGACCACAACTAATTTGTGTCACTTTATATGAGATAAACATCGTTTGTGTCAACAGACAACCCATCAATTCTCATTTAACTTCCATCCCTAGTCCCCAAGGCCGTATATTCAAAACTATGATTACTAAACCCACCATATATTTAATTCCACTTACATATGTTTGCAGGGGAGCAAATTGTTTTTTCAACATAGTTCATCTGGTTTGGGATGACAATTGTCTCTCAGTTTCGCATTATGGTGAGAATTGCATAAATATCAACAGCAAAAGAAACAATAGGTGGAAACCACCCAAAACATCTACCAGTTAGTATTCTGGTTAGAAGATGGAAGTTGATGGGTCAGGCCAAAGGCCTAACTTGTGTTATAAGTCCGGTTCGAGTTTATAGTCTGACTCCAAGAGATCCAACAAATTCAATCAAATATGGTCAATCCAATCAAGATCATCAGGCTCAAGGAGCTACTACATCAGCAAAGAGCATGCAAAGTCATCCAAGAACCTCTTCCTCTACCACCTTGGAGTAAGGGTCATCCAAGAACCTCCTCTATGCCACCAAGGGAGCATCTAGGAGCCTCACCCTCACCACCAAGGGAGCATCCAGGAGCCTCACCCTCGTAGCCTGGAGAGAGTCAACCTCCCTCATCCTTGAACAAGACCTTTGGAGAGCACACCAACGTCACACCTGGCCCGTTGAGAAGATGATAGGTCGCTTCCGCCAGATTAGCTACCTAATTACTCTTTTCAGATAATCATGTTAAATATTTTAATGTTTGGAATAACATTATTTTTGTCATCATTAGTAGGTTCACCCATCTCAACTCGGCAACATAAAAACAATGGGGGATGTGATAAGCAGAAACAATCCTCAGAATATCATGGAAGAATTTGATTTTGAGAAGGTGCACTGAGAAGAGTTGGACCATCACCGCTGAAAGTGTTTGGCGTACTCTGCCCCCGGGCTCCAGAACCAGGCTCGCCAAGAAATTCCTGGGCAACACCGCCTGCATGGGCAAGAACTAAACTCCCTACAAGGGCATCCAAAGCTCCTTAGCTACCTGAACTCCTTGAATCATCACTAAAAGTGGCACCCAAAATTTTCTTGTAGCTTGCACTACTCAACCCAGTGCCTAGAGAAGCATCTGACCCTCTCTGCTCGTCCAAATAGGCAGCCCAGTGCCTAGAGAGGTGTCTGGCCCCCTCTGCTCGTATAAGCGAAGTAGTCCTGCAGGCGCCCAACCATTTGTGCTCGCCCAAAATGGCTCCTCTTGGTGCCTTCACGCCAAGACTAGCCTTCTTTCCACCTCCCTGCTCAGCAAGGTTAGCGTCCCTAGGCGCCTGATGGACCAGATCAGCACACCCAGCGTGCAGGCCAACATGCATGAAGACTCGAGTAGCCCCCTCACATACTGTGCGAACTGTAGCAACGCACAGCGATGCCGCCTGCTCCTCCAGGCCCTTCTTGGCGCCTGTCTTCCCATCTCCACGCCAGACCACCCCTCCTACGCGAGTCCTCAAGACGACCTGGAGTGGCGCTTAGGCAATTCCCCAGCTCACCTAAAAGGCGCCCAATGCCTTTTGCTCACCCAAAACAGCGTGCCCAGCTGCATGGTCACCCGGAGCAGTGCCTGCTCGCCCAAAATCGCGCGCCAGCTCATCTGCTCGCTATTTTGACCGTAAATTTTGCTACGTAAGTCAAAATGGGATATATTATATATCAAATTGAAGCTCTCGACGAGCTAAGCAAAACTCATTACCTTTGGTAATGAGCTTTCCAAAAAAAAGTCCAAAAAGATGTGTTTTGGCCTCCCAAAGTTTTTTTTTAAAAAAAAAAAAAATTGCCCAAGAGGTTGTATGCTCGCCAAGGAGGTGGCCTGCTCGTCCAAAAGCTGGCTGTTTGCCCAAAAACACGCCCCTGGCTCCCTGCTCGCTATTTTGACCGTAACTTTGGTCTGTAACTCAAAATGGGGTGTATTATATACCAAATTGAAACTCTCGATGAGCTGAGCAAAACTCATTACCTTTGGTAATGAGCTTTTAAAAAAAAATCCAAAAAATGTTCAGAAAGAGATGTTTTGGCATCCCAAAGTTAAAAAATAAATAAATAAATAAAATTCCTGCTCACCTTGTACAGTGCTCTACTAGCCTGGACAACTGTCTGCTCGCCCAAATTGCTCGCCTAGCTCTCTGCTCAAAATTTTGACAGTAACTTTTGCTCTGTTGCAGCTTATAATATATCAAATTGAAGCTCTCGGCGAGCCCTACAATACTCACAGCCTATAGCTATGAATGATGCTGCTAAAAGCCCAAAAAAAGGCCTATAAACGGATGTTTTGACCTTCTAAAATTTTTCCAATTATATTGGTCAGTCGAAAATTCAAAATTCAACTTAAATGCCCTCTTTTCTAAGTTCTGTTAGACGCAGGGCTTTGGGGGGCAAATGATAGGCCAGGCCTAAAGGCCCAACTTATGTTATAAGCCCGATTCGAGTTTATAGCCCGATTCTAAGAGATCCAACAAATTCAACCCAATGTGGTCAATCCAGTCAAACTCATCAGGCTCAAAGAGCTACTACATCAACAAGGAGCAAACAAAGTCATCCAAGAGCCTCCTCCTCTACCACCTTGGAGTAAGGGTCATCCAAAGGTTTCCTTTACCACCTTGGAGTAAGGGTCATCCAAAGGTCTCCTCTACCACCTTGGAGTAAGGGTCATCCAAGAGCCTCCTCTACGCCACCAAGGGAGCATCCAGGAGCCTCACCCTCACCACCAAGGGAGCATCCAGGAGTCTCACCCTCGCAGCCTGGAGAGAGTCAACCTTCATCATCCTTAAACAAGTCCTTTGGAGAGCACACCAACCGTCACACCTCGCCCGTTGAGAAGATGATAGGTCGCTTCCGCCAGATCAGCTACCTAATTACTATCAAACGGTCCTAAGTCATTATAACCGTCAGACTAATCATACAATTACTATATCAAACCACTATAAATTGTAAGTTCTCCCAACACTTGGGAAGCATCAGACTCATTTGAACATAATTCTCTCCTCCCCTCTCAAAGCTTGTAATCATGTGCTCACCCTCCACACCGGAGATAATAAAATTCCGACGAACCTAATCATTCAAAGTGGACATAGATCGTATTGACTGAATCACTATAAATCCTATCTTCTCTCTCAATCTATTTACTGCATTTTATACTATAACTTGACTAGTGGTGTGCAAACTAATTTGTGCATCATCAAAAGTTATCAAATATCCAACATATTTAATGAGAGATTAGATCAAACTTGAATGTTTAAAACATGACAAAACCAGACACACCCAAAATTTTTGACCTGCTCAAATGGTTGAATAAATGTAGTCAAAGCCCAAAGCTTGCTTCTTTCCTTCGCAAGTGAAAGTACAGTTTGGAGTTCATGTTTTTGGTGATTGAATAATTCTCCCATTCTTAGTTTCACCATGGATCGCAATCAATTCAGGGAAGCATCAATAAACATTGTTTGCATACACATGCTCTCCATTAACCAAATCCTTTGCGGTCTCAATCCAAGAAGACACCCGCAGGATATGATTGCCAACTCTGATGCGCATCCATCCAAAAGCAGAAGCAGCAGCAGCAGCAGAACCATGCTCTTAACCTAACTGCCCTTCATGAAAAATGACCGGTCGGGTCACAACTGGAGGTCTAAGGCACCAATGATAAAACAATGGATGATAGGTCATCCGTTCTCCCATACCGGGAAATGTCTATTGAGCCTCCACTAAGGTTGATGTCTCTTTAGAGGAATGAGGCCACAATGGTGAAAGAGCAACAACCTTCCCAATAATTATCAGAGTTGGTGACACTAACTCGGCTGATGTAATTCTATCGCCAAGATCCTTCAGTTCTGCAAGCACCTGCATGATTACAATGAAAAGGCAATTAATTGCTGGCACCACAATTTCAGAAGTTAAAAGCATATGACATTACCAATCAAGGTCTGGCTAGATCAGAAATAATGGAAAAACTGAAATGAGGCTTAATCAAGGAGACTTAGATTGTCCCCACAAACACAAAAACTGCATTTGAAGGGCCATCCTCTGGGGTCATCTCCAATCATCTAAAATTTGAGTCAAACTGCAATTGATGGGCCAGACTATAGTTTCTGGATTTTCCCTTTAAAAGCCCCACTAGTCTCGAACCCTCCCCCCAAACCAGAACCAAGCCCTAATCCCCACAGCCATAATCCACCATATCCACCAATTCCAAACTCCACCACCACCACCACCACAAGAGAGAGAGAGGGAGGGAGAGAAATCGATTTGATTCGAGAGAGTACATGAGTAAGCTTTGACCGCTACTGGGTTCTTTTTTCCCTAAGAAGACTGCCCTCATATGTCCTCACATGAATCACATGTGGTCACTTCCACAGACCATTTAATTCCAAATTTAAAACTTCAGGGATGCAATTGATAAAATTGGAATTAGGGACAAAGTAAGTGAGAGCGCATATTTGAGACCATTGGTGCATTTCCCCCTAAATGAATTGTTGTGTCCTAAATAGTTGTAAGTAAGCTCGTGCAGCTGTGTTCAAATTCTTGAATGGCATCTTTATCTGAATGCTATTATCAAATAGTTTCAGCTATATAAATTTACTCCTGTGAACTTGAGTTTGACAAACCAAATTAAAAGGAAAAACAAAAATTAAATGGAGTGTGAAAACTTGTCTTCGGTTTACCATGCGTTGTTGAGGTGTTGTCCCTCGCTCAACCGCAGCAGCTGGTGTATCGGGAGGCAAACCATGATGTATCAACTTTAGAGCAAGAGATGGCAGTGTTGACAAGCCCATATATACAACCAAGGTTGAATCGGCATCAGCTGCATTCTCTGCTATGAAAAGAGGATCTGCTCCTCCATTCCTAGAGTGTCCGGTAAGAAATCTGACACTATTTGAGACACCACGGTGAGTCAATGGAATCCCCAGCTCCGCTGCTATTCCAGAAGCAGCAGTGATACCTGCATGGAAGTAGATATAATGGTTAGGACTAACATACGTCTAAAGAGAATATTAATTCCACTTAGAATCCAGGGCTAATCTTGGTCAATAACTCATCTGAGCAAAAACAACAAGACCACATAAGCCACAGACAAGAGAGTGAGAAATATTTAACACAAAGATTGTGATAGTGCGGGTAGAAGTATTGCTAGTCCATTGTCGATATAGAAGTTGGGGAATTGTTTCGAAAGAACTACTGGGATGAATATCATACTAACTCACTCATGAACATTCTCCAATCAAGGCTGAAAGAGTGAATTCTTGAGATTAAAAAAATGGAGGCAGCTCTACCCACTCCAAGCGAGGAGTTGTCTTTGCACCCCTTCCACACTTTAAATTAAGTTGTATAATGGTGGAAATGATATAGCGTGGATAAAAATTCCTTATTAGGGTCACTTGATGTTTCCAAGATTAAATGGACAGGATAAATGCCCCCTCCCCCCTAGGGTGTGGGGGCCGCACAACACGCAAAGAACAATTTTTCCCAGATTTCATCTAGTTTAATTCAATTTGTCTATCTCATGCTGTGAATTTTTCTATCGTTACACACTCTTCTGCCTGCTTGTGATAGCCTATAGGAAAGTCTTTTTGAATACTGATAGCCTTAATACTAGAAATTTCTTAAGAATCCACAGAGAATGGAAAGCTGTTCGGCCTATAGGGATTTCCCAACAAATTAGTGACGCCAGATAGCAGCGGTATTGACAATTAGATTGCCAGGGAAAGAACTCAATATCAGCATGCTAGCAAACTGAAAATCATAAGTTCTTTCAAGGAATTCTAATAGTCAAACAGAAAACAAAAGCATAAGCCCTACTTCAAATAGTGAACCTTGGAAGACTACTCTATACCATCATACCTGGAATCACTTTCACATGAATCCCTTGTTGTTGCAGAAAATCCATCTCCTCTCCGCCCCTTCCAAATACCTGATAGCTTTAAAATAAGTATCACGAAGCTTCCCTTGGGAAACATGTACCAGTAGTATAAAATTTCTACTATGATTGTTTAAAGATCTTTGCATTTCATCATTTCCAAATAGAAACTCACCAGTGGATCACCTCCTTTCAGTCTCACAACAGTGGCCCCAGCTTCAGCAAAACTCAAAAGCAATTCATGAATCTCCACCTGCAAAGTCCCAAAAACTATGAATTGGTTTTAACTTTTCAATTAGGCTATATTTGTGCGGTCAATACATCACATAAACTCAACTCAACTCAACAAACCCTTATCTAAGGATCGACTACATGAATCCTGTTTCTCCATTGTGTTCTATCAAGCACCATATTCATCATTAAACCGTAAGCTATCATATTAGTTTTCACTATTTCGTTCATAAACAACGAAAACCCCAACACAAGACACAAATTGTATGTCAAAGAAACAAAAAATCCAACGTTGAAGTCTCCCAAATAACAAAACCAAATCATAGGCTTATCAGAAAGTTAATGCATACCAAATTGTATACTAATAAAAACACAAAGCAAACTCTTAGAATCTTCCAAATAACGAGCAAATTCATAGACCTAGCTATGAATCAAGCAACCCAATTCATCAAATCTCTCAATTATGTCTGAAACCCAATTTGAAAAGTCAAGAATGCTGAATATCCCATTGACAGAAATGACCCAACTCAATATAAGAGCGCGCGCGCACACACACACACACACACAAGAAATACTAACCTGGGTTCGGCTATGATACCCAGCAGTCTTGCCAACATAGAGAAGCCTAGCATCGGGACCCACCAAATTCAACACATCAGTGGACACCAACCGATCATACAATAAAAGATCAGCACTTTCAATCACTCGCAAGGCCTTGAGTGTCAACAGCTCTGGGTCCCCGGGTCCTGTACCCACCAGGAACACATTTCCAGGCCCTCTCCCTCCGCTATCTCCATCACCCCCGCACTCTCTCTTCTCTCTCAATACCTGAAGCAGTTTCTTCAGCTCTGGAAGTTGCACAGAGATGTCATAGTCTCTGATCAAGTTGGGATCAGGCGGGACCGGACAGGAAGAAACTCGGTCCAACTGGTTGTGGTATAGCCACTGGTCTCTTTGGTAGCGTTCAATCGAGTGTTTTTCGGTGAAGGGTGAGGTTGAATGTGATGTGTAATGTATGGAAAAAACTGGGTTGAAGCGAAAAGCATTGGGTTTTCTCTGTGGGGTTGTTGAAGAAGTGAGAGAAGGAAGTCTATTCACAAGAGCCATTCCACTTCAGAGAAAAAGAAAGTGGGTGTCTTGTATTTGGCCTTGAAAGAAATATATATTCATACATATGTATCTGCGAGTGAGTGTGTGTGTGTGTGTTTGTGTGTGAGAGAGAGGGAGAGACTGGTTGGGTTGCAATTGAAGTCTTTCTGAGCTTTGGAGAGGATGAAAAGGCAAATTAGGCTTTTGGGGCTTTGAGAGGTATATAGCTTCTCTTTGGTGACCTCAATGGGTTTTTAGGAGGAGAGGTTCTATCTCCTACGATGCAACCCATGGTACGTCCAGATATCTATTGGAAATTAATTCCTATATTGTAGTGATTTTTAAATTTTGATTCCATGCATTGTTACTTTAAATTATTTATAAATTTAAACGTTTTTCATATGATTTATATTCATATTTTCAAAATAAAAATGTGTGTTCCTCTTCCTTTTTTTTTTTTGTTTTTTTTTCTAATTTTATTCAAGTTTAAATGAAAATACAATAATTAATTTGGCACAAAAAAAACCCACAACGCATAGTCAAAAATTGAAAATAAAAACTACAATAGATCCATAGGATGCTATTATTTCAACATCTTCCAATTCCCACTATGGTTTTAACATGAACCAATTCAGCTCATTTTCCTATTTGTCACAACTAAATACCAAAAAGGCTTAAAATATTATTGAGATTAGAGATAAAAAATAAAAGAAAAATAAAACACCAACACATGAATGGTTTGGCACATTATAATTACCTGTGGTTGTATTCATAAGGCCGAGAAATACACAAAATTAATATAAATATATCGTTCATGTTTATCGTTATTTCATCTGAATTACGTAAATATTGATGATTTTATGTGGATCCCGGCATATATTTAAAAGTTAAAGATAATTTGATTTAGTGATTGGTTATATAGATTTTGATGGCGTAGAACAATTGGTCATTTTAGAATTGATTAAGGTTCATGTCATATATTTTTTTCTTTGTTCATCTTCAAATGTCACTGTTAGGCTGAACATTGTTGTCCTTTGTAGTATTTGTGACCAGGGATGTTAGTCGTGTCAACGTGAGCCGAGTTTATATCGGGTTTTATTGAGTTCATGTTAAAAAGTATTTCACACATACTTGATTTATTTATTAATTCATGTCCAATAAATCGTGTCATGTATGAATCGTGTATAATCGATATATAAACGAGTAGTGTTGTGCATTTTTCTTGATTGAGTTCAATCATACCTAATTAGTTTATTGATCGTGTCATGTCGAGTCACACCTTATAAAACTAGTGATTTAAAAAAGAATCAAATTCTCTAATTTTGTGTTGTGTGTCGTACCATATTTTGACACTCATATTTATGACTGTTTAAAGGCATGAGGCAATTTCCCATAAATCAACAGTTCCTTGTGAATCTGGTATGTTGTGTGCCATCCATTTTTCAATTGACCAAGCTACAAACGAGGATAGAACTGTTAAACAATCCGAGCAGTTAAAGCATGACTTAGTTTTAGCTTGTTTAGAAAAATTTCAACTATAAAATTAATTGAATTTGATTAAATTTTTAAGTTTATTTTGTAAAGGAATCGAATTCAAATTACATGTATCTCAACTCGACAAGATGGGAAAGATGCATTTTCCCAACAGTGAGGTTGTAGCATGCTATTAAAGTCTCCATATGCTCTCCATAGGACCAATTGCACAAAATTGGTTTCCTATGGATGGGCTACTGGGAGCTCATGGGGAGGATGAAAACTCGAGTTGTTTCTAGAGCAACAACTGGCCTGGGGTGATACTATTGCTTTATGGGAAAAGGCTAAAGAAGTCTTTCCCTTGATCAAGGATATTGAAACAAATCTTAATGCCCAGGGCTGCATCATTGTTCGTATTTGGTTGTTTTTGAGCATGACAAAAGATTAAACAGTCAAACGGTTTCTATGGACATATCAATTTACTAGAAAAATGATTGACATGACAATACACTAATTGTTTTCATGTTTTCCATCATTTGACAATACACTAACTGGTTTCCAGCAGGCCACATGAATGAATTTCCTGATGAAAATGACAAATCCTGCATTCATTGATGGACCATGTGTTGTAATGAATACACTAGTGAGCATTTCAGTACACCATGTGCCAAAGTGATAACACACATTTGATAAGGTTGTATATGGAAAAGTGACTACTCGTGACTAATTAATAGTTAAAGCACCTTAGATGAGTGTGAGTATAGACTGGTGATTTTTTCAGCAAATCATGTACTAAAGTGTCAAAACCCTAATTTTTCATGGACACAAATGTGTACAGGACATAAGCTCCATAGTCATGCAGTCACTAGACACAGTTGATAAGGCTAACTAGTGAAATAGAGTGAAATTACATTACACGAGTCCAACACGTGATTAAACCTTAAATGACCTCACATGACTATACTATCTTACTAATTTATGTAGCCCTTTAACCAAAATTGGGTAGAAATATAGTCAAGACTATCTAAATTATTTTTTTTCTCATATTTTGGTATAACGTGATAAGTTTATAATAAAAAATCGTTAATNCAAAATTGGGTAGAAATATAGTCAAGATTATCCAAATTATTTTTTTTCCCATATTTTGGTATAACGTGATAAGTTTATAATAAAAAACCGTTAACAATTTGCACTCTGTTTACTTTCAATTAAAATATTAAAGATTAAAATGAGACAAATCTCATATTTTGAGAACCTGCATTTCAATTAACCCTAAAGAAGATGGAGTGAGTTTGGAGACATTTTTCTTTTTTTGGGGAGGGGGAGGGCGAGGGCGAGGGCGAGGGGAGGGGAACTTGAACTTTTGATTTCAAGAAAGTAAAATTTTTACAAGACAAATAGTACTATTGAATCAAAAGCCTATTGNTTTTTTTTTTTTTTGGGAGGGGGAGGAGGAGGGGAACTTGAACTTTTGATCTCAAGAAAGTAAAGTCTTTACAAGACAAATAGTACTATTAAATCAAAAGCCCATTAGTGTGAATTTGGAGACATAACTTAGGGATTTAAAATGTAATTTACCCTCAATAACAAGCTTTCAGAGCAAAGAGAGTCTAGCATTATGACTAGGTATCATGAAATGGAAAAAAAATTAATTATAACGGTGATATTAAGTCAGTATTGCTACATGATATTACCAATCAATAATAAAAAATAAATAATAAAGTAGACCCCACNTATCATGAAATGGAAAAAAATTTAATTATAACGGTGATATTAAGTCAGTATTGCTACATGATATTACCAATCAATAATAAAAAACAAATAATAAAGTAGACCCCATACAAACTAATAACTATCCGTTCATATAAATAGATAATTACTCATTCTTCTTCCATATAAATCAATAATTACTCAAGTGAGGTTCACTTCGCCCATTTAAAATTTTATTATTAATCGATAATATCATATCATAATACCTAGATGGTATCACCGTTCTATCGAATATGCTCTCTATGAAATGGTGCCATGCATGTTATATGTAAGTTGATTCCGTTCTTCCTAGTGTTCGGCCGCTTTGTCCAATACTAACAGCGCATATTTTATAATGGATTGGCGAGACAGTCTCTGTAGTTTACAACTGTTTTTTTTTTATCTACGTTATTCTCGTCCCACAAATCTCTATTATTATCTCATTTAATTTTTTGTTATCAAATNTCTTCCTAGTGTTCGGCCGCTTTGTCCAATACTAACAGCGCATATTTTATAATGGATTGGCGAGACAGTCTCTGTAGTTTACAACTGTTTTTTTTTTATCTACGTTATTCTCATCCCACAAATCTCTATTATTATCTCATTTAATTTTTTCTTATCAAACTACTAAGCTCACCACTCCTTCTATACTCACTTCATTAGTAATTAAGTCCACCACAATGAATTTTTCCAATGAAATACAAGTTAGTATTAATTCTCAATTTAATTCTATGTTTGATTTCATGTTTGTTATATGAATTTTTATTATTTTTGGTATGTTTGATATCTTTGTTAAATTTAATAATTTTTTATTTAGAATTTATACGTGTGTATATATATGTATGCTTTCAATTTTTTNACAAGTTAGTATTAATTCTCAATTTAATTTTATGTTTGATTTCATGTTTGTTATATGAATTTTTATTATTTTTGGTATGTTTGATATCTTTGTTAAATTTAATAATTTTTTATTTAGAATTTATACGTGTGTGTATATATGTATGCTTTTAATTTTTTTTTTTTTTTATCTTGTTAAGGTTTTGCATCTATGCTTATTTTTTTTTCCTTGTTTGATTTTGTGTCTGTGCTTGATACTTTTTTTTATCATATTCAATTTTCCGTCTCATAATTTTGTTTGTTCATTTAATCTGTACTTGGTTTTTTTTTCTTCTTATTTTGGTTTAATTTTTTCTTGTATTTTTTTCCTTGTTTCATTCTTTTCTTTTTTCTTGTTTTGTTTTGTTTTTTTTTTAATTTCGGCATGCTTGTTTTTTTTTCTTGTTTCAATTTTGATTGCTTTTTTTTTTCTTGTTTCAGTTTTGTTTGGTTCTTTTATTTTGGTAAATATATTTATCCATTCAAACTAATTATCCTTTTTTATTATTTTTTTTAACGATGATTTCCTTTATTAAAGAAATGTACATAAAATGAGTGAACTTAACTATATTGAGTTATATGTGGCATGGGATGAAATTAGTTACTAATAGGTTGGGTATAAAAGGGATGAGTTTAGTAGTTTGATAATGAGAAATTAAATGGGGTGAAAATGGAGATTTGTAGGTCCACCCAAATTTTAGTCACACTTCGTCTAATTTATCATATTTTTAAGGACATCCCTTCTATTTTTTGAATCTTCACTGACACCCCTTGTCAGATTAAAGGTGTTAATTAAAATAAAATTTATTGAATTACTCATGATAAATTTTAGAAAAAAATTTATCCATACCCCCTTTAGATAAGAATATCTTCAATGAGAGCCCCTTTATTTTCTAAATTTTTTTACTTATTAAAATTCAAGTCAATTAAAATTTAATTTGAGCTAGTTAAAATTTATTTTTTATGTATTAAAATTTGAGTCAATTAAGAATTATACTTATTTACATATTAAAAGTTGAGCTAACTAAAATT